CTTCCCCTGGCTTCTCAGAGCTCCTCTCTCAAGTGCACAGGAGTAGAGAATTCCAGAGTTTGAAAGGAACTCCCGAAGTTCCCACAAGGCAGGAATTTTTGGAATGCAGACCTTTGTTACAAGATTCCCGGCAGATGGACATTCTATTTCCAGACGAGGAGGGGAACCAACCTGAATTAGCCCCTGGAGAAGTGCATCATCTGGGCTGCCTTCACTCACAGCAAGGTGCTTAAGTTCTGACTTGACTGGCCTAGACCGTAAGGAAAATCCATCTAGTGAAGAATTCCAGGGCTGATGAATTCAGCGGCTCCATGATGTCACCAAGGACCCAGGTTCTTTCCAGCACTCGGCTCTGCCATTCTCCGGGCAGGGGGCGGGGGGGGGCGGGGGCGGTCGGTGATCCTTCACAGGGGCTGGAGACGGCTGCCTCTGTTCCAGGCGTCACAGGCAGCCTCAGTAAAGGCCAGTGGGAGAGAAGCAGGGTTTGGTTTGGTTTTCTTTGGTTTCTCCCTATGTGTCTCCTTCCCCTTTTTTAAGCAAAGAAAGCTTTCTTGGCATCCTCCTTGGCCAGGACTGAGACCAATCACAGGCAAAGAGAATGGGATCAGCGGGATGACTGGCCTGGGACAGTGAGGACTTACCGTATGATGTCTCTCTGGGGCACAGAGAGGCGGCACAGAGCCCTCAGTACAACCAGGGATCTATCAGCAAGAAAAAAGGGGAGAATGTCTGGGGGGAGCTGACCTGCTATCTCTCTCTGTTCCCGACGGACACTATTTTCTCTGACTTACAGGTGAAAAAAAACATGGAGACTGAGAACTAAATGACTGGACTCCTCACCTATTGGACTTGACCCAGCATCTCACTCTCTTTTATAATCCCAAGAGTATCTAGAACAATGCGTTCCATTATAGCTGGTACCAAACAAACCACCTCAGTGTAATGCAACCAATGTTTAGGGGTTGCCTACTATGTGCCAAGAAGTTTGTAGGGTGCCGGGGGTACAGAGAAGGGCTTACAATCTGGTACCTTTGGTTATTATTATTATACTTTATTGTTGCTGCTATTACTTAGCACACATGATGTGCTAGGCATTTGGGTGTATATAATGTTCATGTCAAGATTCAGTTTTGTTGTGTGTTTTGTTTTTTGTATCCCATTTGGCAGACAAGAAAGTGACACTGATGGGCGAGAAGTAACCTGCCCAGAGTCTCATGCCTCATGGGTGTCAGACCCAAACTCAGCCCACCTTCTCTCAATCTTCTTCTCTGTGCCTCTCACCCTACTGAATATGCTAGTTACCAATTAAACACAAAACATATAACGTTAAGCTAGTATGTGGATGTGTAGGTCTCAAAAGTTATTGTCATAAGATTAATTTTTGTTCCTCTCTCCTTATCTTTTTCGCTCTACTTAGTGGGGGCTGCCCTTGCCTGCCCAAGAGATACAAAGTTGAGCAGTTTCATTGTTCTCTTCTGGCCTTTGATGCCTCACACGAAGTTTTCAACAAAATAATACAAAGACTGAAATGTCTCCCCTCCTCAGCTGGAGATATGCCGGTGGGGGGTGGGGGTGGGGAGAACGCACAATCAGGGAAGCAAAACACTCCTTTTCTCTTCATTTTTAGATACATTTTCCTCGGGTCAGAGTCCCGGGTGAGTCCTTTCTGGAATCCAGCAGTTCCTCCATTCTGAACGTCAGGCCTTTTTACCACCAGCCTTCTGGTAGCTCCCAGCCTTCTGGAGCTGCCTCAGGATGATCCCAAGAACATGCCCCAGGTGAAAATGAGAGACATGTCTTTCTCGATCCATCGTATGGTTCAGGATCCCACTGGCTCCACGAGAATTCTGCTCCTGCACCAGTACAAGCTGTGGCTGCTGCTGCGGTGCACTCTGCTCAGGTCCATCCTCCTCCCCTGGCTGAGGTTGCTTGGTGTCCTACAACAGACCTGCTGCCAGCCTCTTGGGAGCCTGGAATCCAAGGGACAGGCAGCAAGCCACCCATCTAGCCCAGGAAGCCTGTTTTGTTCTTACTGATTTTAGAGAGAGAGGAAGGGAGAGGGATAGAGAGATAAAGACATTGATGATGAAAGAGAAACACTGATCGACTACCTCCTGTACGCCCCCTACTGGGGATTGAGCCTGCAACCTGGGCATGGGCCCTGACCGAGAATTGAACCTTTTGAAAGGTTGACACTCAAAAACAGGCAGGGCCAGGAAGTCTGTTTTAAAGGCATGTTAAGAAATTCAATAAAATCCCTACAGGAGCCCCAATGAGTCCCACTGCAGGCTTCGCAGAGCTCTGGGTCACCATGTCTGGAACTGAACCCCTCGAGCACGTGCTACTCCTACATCAAAGGCTCTCAAGAAGCCTTCTCGTCTCCCTTCGGAGCACAGAGTGACAAGCACCTTCCCAGAGGACCTCAGTCTCTGTGCTAGTTGCTGGACGTTCCCAAATCAGCACTTTCTGGCGACATCTGGTCAACAACTTTGTGGACATAAACATCCAAACCTGCAGAATTTTTATGAGTTTATTTGAGTCAAAACTGACGACAATTGCTGGGAAGAAAGACTTAAAATGCTCCAGAGAATAGAAATGTGCTGTTTCTTTTATGCATTTGGAATTAAGGAGGGACCTTAAAGAAGATTCTATGAGGGTGGGAGAAAGCAAGGTAGGGTTCAAATACAGGATAGCTGACAAGATTATATGCTCTCTTGAGAGTGGTCATGCTTTAGAAGGAGGGGACTGAACAGGGGCATGACAAAGGTGTGTTAACCCAGATGCACAGAAACAATGGACAGAGCTTGCTAAAGGCAAAGAGAAGCCTTTTCTCAAAACATATATGCGTGGGGTGTGACTACCGACTATGACCTGCTCAGTTGGGAATTTATGACCAGGTCACTCTGTGAGGTTACCTTCCATAGATCCCCCCTTTCATCTACAACCTCCCACTGGGTTCCCAGGGCCCGAAAGGGCTTCAGAGGTTGGGCTCAGGGTGAGTAGATTCTACTCACCCGCCTCTCCCGTCTCTCATCCGGGTCTTAGTTTCCTCCCTTTTGTTCACCTCAGTTTTTCTTATCACAGTCTCTCTTCCAGGACTCTATCTAAGGCGTTCTTGCTGATGGCCAGGGCAGAAGCACAGCGAGAACAAGCAGAGGCCCGAGACTCAGGCTAGGGCCAGGTTCAAACACCAGCTGGGGGTCAAGGAAGGGACTCAACCTTTCTGAGACCCACCATGCTCTTTTGGAAAACAGGAATAACAGTTTCTGCTTCATAGGGCTGTTGGTGGATTAAATGAGATCTTTTGTGTAGGAAGCCTGAAGGACAGCCTGGCATATTGTAGGATACACAATCCATGTCAGTCAGTGTCACACCAGGTGGCCTGCCTAAACCCTCACTGGTGCTCCACAGAGGTTTCCTGGATTAACCTGGAATAAACATTTTCCACATTTCTGGGCTGCACTGGAAGGGCTTCTTCCACCACCCCTGTCTCAGTTAAAAAAGAAAAAATCAGAAGCTTGAAAGCTGAGGAAGGACTGGAGAGAGGCAGTGAAGTCAGCCGGATGCTCGAAGCCCAGATTGCCTTTGGCTCAGTCTAGATTTGAGGGAAACCTGGAATTACTGCGATTTCATCACAGCAGCTGGTCCAAGATAAACCTGCCAGAACTGCTCGAAGGCCAGATCTGGATCGCAGCGATAGCCGGAGCCCGCTGAGAAGCAAGGAGAAACTATTTATCTGACATTTTTTCAACCCCAACCAAGAATTTTCTTTGGCTCAAGATGTCCTTGGGACCGGTTTTCATTTGCATGGAGCTCGTTTAAGGATCCGTGTGCACGTCTGACGGAGGAGACTTCTTAGAAAGACTTCCATTCCCCTGCCGCCTGTTCACGTGGGCCTTTCTCGTGATTCAGAAATAAGGACTCATCCAGGAAGGCTAATCCCCAGGTTTCAGTTGTGCTTGGACTGTGCCAGAACCTCACGTACAGGCTCTCTCTGACTCAACTCCACACACAGCCGGAGCAGGCCTGGGCATCCGCAAAGATGGCCACCAAGGAACACTTGTCCTCCTTCCAAATTGGCAGGCTTCATCTAATTGAACCCATGTTAACCGATGTGGCATATTTTAATACATTTCACTGTTTCAAGCTGAGGCAGCAAATTGGAGTGCAAATCTTCTTAACAGCTGCTTCTAGAGGGGCTGTCTGGAATCGCTGCATCCTTGACTCTTTGGTGCCAACCACAGGAAAATGTGTCCATTTATTATAGATCTTGGAAGGGTTGTTGTATGGCAGTCATGTCTGAACTAGAATGCCACCATTCTTTTTCTTTATTGAATTTACCGGGGTGACATTGGTTAATAAGATTATATAGGTTTCAGGTGAATGCTACCATTCTTGTAATATTATTTTTTTAAATATATTTTCATTGATTTCAGAGAGGGAGGCAGGGAGGGAGAGGGAGAGAGAGAGAGAGAGAGAGAGAGAGAGAGATAGAGAGAGAGAAACATCAATGATGAGAGAGAATCATTGAATGGCTGCCTCCCACACACCCCCTACTAGGGATCAAGCCTGCAACCTGGACACATGCCCGACCGGGAGTCAAACCGTGATCCACTGGTTCATATTTACTCAACCACTGAGCCATGCCAGCTGGGCAGTTCTTGTAATATTATTATGCAGACACTGCACTTTTCTAGTAGGTAGCATTTGAGGAATAGTATGAATATTCCAGGAATAGAATACTGAGATGTAGTTTGAGAAAACAATCCAGAATCGGGTCATCATTCTCTGCTTCCAACCAGTCACCTTGTTCCAATGATGTTGCCTGGAGCTGCCTGTGTTTTAATTATCCTTAGTGAAAGCTGAGCACAAGGAGGGTATTTGCTGCATTGTTGTTATGGCCAAAGATTAGAAACAAATGCTAACCAATAGGAGACTGGCTAAATCAATTATGATACATCCAGTCAATAGAACGCCATGTAATCATTCAAAAATGAAAGTGATGCAGCAGGAACCAATGTATTGTTATGAACCTATCTCCAAGAAATATAATTAAATCTGTAAATATACAAGATCCTGGTTATACCAGTTATCTCCGGGGAGGAAAATGAGCAGCAGAGGAGCAAGGGAAGAAAGAAGTTTTCATTTCCATCGCCTAATGTTTGTACACTTTGAATTTTGTACCTTGTATTACTCACATACACATAATAAAACGTTTGATTTTTTCCAAAAGTGCATTCAGAGTCTAATCCCCCAAAAGAGATGGTTGAACTAGCTATGTAAATCAAACAATTATAATCACAGGAACACTCATTGGCTGAGCAACGGCTCTGTATCGGTCTCTGCCATGGCTAGTTACTACACATTTTATCTGCTTTTCTCCTCAAAGCAATCCTATGAAGTCAGTTTTACCATCTTCATTTTAGACATGAGGACATTGTGACTCAAAGGGTTTAGGAAAGTTGCCTGAGGTTACACAACCCGCACAGGCTAAACTGGGATTCAAACTTAGGTTGGGCTAACTTTTTCCACCGGCCCCGGGGGCGGGGGGCTCCTTCATCAAACATGCAATGAGATTGCTTCTCTCTCCTCACTCTATACCCTGGGCCTGGCAGAGTGCTTGGCACCCGGGAGGTGTCTAATACATGCTGAATGAATGATCAACAGAAAGCAAAACAGTGAGAGCAAGACTTGGCCAGTAATTCCCTAAAAGGATTTTTACACGTTTGAGCGTCTTGGAATTACTTGGAAGACAACAACCTTCATTTGGAGGCTGTATTCTGCTGCGTTTGCTTAAAAAAAAAAATTAGTCACATTGTTTTTAGTCACACCTCACAAAGTCTCATTACTTCAAATTGCCTTTCTGGTGGAGGGTGATTTCACAATAAGGAAAATCAGAGAATGTGGTTTTCATTTGGCTACCTTTAAAAATAGCTGTTTTTCGGATGGGATCATATGAATAAATGAATACTTCTCTTTGGTTTTATCTTCTGTTTTTCTGCATGATTGTTGGAGAAGTTCAACAAGCTTGACCATTCATTTCAGGGTGAATTTGGGACCCAAACAGTTAAACAACCAGCCCATTTGGCTTCCTTGCTGCCTCCCAGCCAAGGAGATGAATGGAATGTTCATGAGGTCGCTTGGCAGGCGTCCACATTCCTATGGGAACGTTGCAGCAGCGAGAGCTTTGGGACACTAAGAGGCAAATGTGTGGGAGTCGTGGGGCAAATTGCAGATGATCCAACGTCTCGGAAAAATGTGTGGAGTGCTGTTGGCCCGAGGATGCTTTGCAGAGGACCAGCGAGGTCTCTGCCCTGGCTCAG